ACACACACACACACACCACCACACACACACACAAACACACACACACACACACACACACACACACACACACACACACACACACACACACACACACACACACACACACACACACACACACACACACACACACACACACACACACACACACACCCACACACACACACACCCAAACACACACACACACACACACACACACACACACACACACACACACACACACACACACACACACACACACACACACACACACACACACACACACATTGACTGCAACCACACGGTGCACAGCAGGCAGCAAAGCAAAGCGTGTCACGACCGACGGTCATCGTCGAGTGTGCCTAAGGGTCCTTAGCTATGGGGTGGCAGTGCTATGTATCCTAGGCATAGGCCGGGCTATGGCTATGACTTTACGCGAGAAAGGCACACTTCGACTGGGATCGCAATGAGGGGTGAGTTTCACACATGTGTGCACCACGATCCAGAAAGCTCGGCTGTGCAGGGTGGCCCCGCTTTCGGGTTTCCTTGCTCGCCTTCCTTCCCCCCTAGGCTTCAGGGCACCCGAACCCATTCGGCCCCGTGGTAGGAGTGCCCTGCATGTGCCCTTCGTCTGTTTGCATGCTTCCGTTTTGCACATGTCCTCATCCGAAGCCCTTGCCCTCTGCCTTTTCCTTGATCGCAGGTGTCGGCGCATCCTTCTACAGCTGCAGCCTGGGCCTTGGTATTGGTGGAGGTTGCTGGCTTGGGGGTTTGGGGCTTTGGTTTCGGTTTGGGCCTTTGTGTGCATGCCTCTCACGTTGGATGCGGAAGCCCCTGAGCCACCCTAAGCCCCGATCCCGCCGGCTTTGGAGGTCGTTGCCTCTTCCACGCAACCGATCGCGTGGACCTTGGACTTCTTCGTCTGGCCTCGTTGCTGTGGTTTCGTTGCTCCCTTCCTCAGGTCCCCGATGCACCCGATTATGCCGAGGCCAGTTTCTTGACGGTTTCGGGCGGCTGTGGGCCTGTGGGTTGGTGCTCTTGGCTCCCCTGCTTCATGCTAGGTCGCTGGTGCTCCTGCACATGAAGCTGCCGGACCGGAGCTGGAGCAGGACCGGCTGGGTTCGTGGTTTACGGGGTGGTCCTTCCAGCCTAGGCGGCGACAGTGTTGCTGTGCAGGATCAGTTTGCGAGTGTGCAATCCATTTGATTTGATCGCAGCCAATCCACTTGATTTGATCGCAGCCTAGTTGAGCTCAAAAGGGCATCCAGCTTTCAGCTGCCTGCGGAGATTGTGACATTTGGCAACATCCGTTCAACCAGAGCTTGAACTGGCATCCAACCCAGCAGCCTGCCTGCAGAGCGACATGTGGCGGCCGGGAAAATTCGCCAGGCGTGTGGTGATTTGGCGGCGGGCCAATAGGATGGCGCTGGTGAGGCGAGTGCTCCTGGTGGCGAACCGCATGCGGAAGATCAAGAAGGACGAAGACAGGAAGAAAGATCATGACAAGACAAAGGACGATGACAGGAAGACCGATGATGGCCAGCCGAATGCGCATGCGGAGTTCCAGCGCCTTTTGATGTCGGCCATGCACTCGTTCTACCAGCAGGGTAGGATAGACGAGGTGCTGCCGTTTCGGTGATCGGTGGCGGAGGGTGACCAGGTAAAAAGAAAAGCTTTGCATGCTGATGCTTCACTGCTTTGTGTGGGAATACCTTATGTGGACGGCCATTGATCTCTAGACTTGCTGGCAGGACTCCACACGAGAGCTCGAGCAGCAAGAGGCCACCAGGGTTTCGGTGCTTAGGGTTAAGGGTTCGGGGGCTTAGGGTTTTGGCTGCTGTGCTGCCAGGACTCCATGCCAAGATCGGCCGAGGTTGGGCTTTCCTTTCCGCCCTTGCTTTGTTCACCGTCGGCCGTGTCTGCAGGCCAACGCTTGTATGCTTGTCTGCCGGTGTCACGTTGCTTGCTCAGGTCGATGCGACCTCCATGGTACCGGTGGCCTGGACCTTGGGCAAGGTATCTCTGAAGGTTGCAGTCCCGCACACCGACAGTGGCCTGTGACCGGTCCTGTTGCTTTCCCGCATGTGTCGGCATTGTCGGCCTCCTGTGCGAGCACGGATGCACTGCTTCTTCGGGACGAGGCGGGCCATGTTGGTGGAGTGCGGGCACTTCGTGTCTTCCTGGCACTTCGTCCCTCGGTTGACTGGATCAGGAGGCCTTGCCATCGATGAAGCCGTCGGCCGACCTGGCTTGGACCTTGGCCGGCTTCGCATTGGAATGCACTTCGAGCTGCCACCGGCTGCAACCTTCCGGCCCGAGAGCCCTGATCATCCTAGACCCTTGCTGTGCCTGAGTCTCGTGTTGCGGACGTGGAGAGGGAGCCGAAGACACCGACGAAGACTTGTGTCCTGCATCCGAGGACACCGAGCAAAACCTCGGTCCCCGACCGGGATGCAGTCTCGCCGTTGATTTGGATTGAGATCATGCCTGAGTCTCCTGTTGCGGACTTGGAGAAGAAACCGAAGACACCGAGCAAGACTTGTGTCCCGGATCCGATGACGCCGACCAAAACCTTGGTCCCCGACTGGGACGCAGTCTCGCCGTCGGTTTGGAAGGAGTTCTCGCCGTACTCCCCGTCTCCTGTTGCGGACCTGGAGAAGAAGCCGATGACACCGACGAAGACTTGTGTCCTGGAGCCGATGACACCGACCAAAAGATTGGTCCCCGACTGGGACGCGGTCTCGCCGTCGGTTTGGAAGGAGTTCATGCCTCGCCGAGGGAAAGCTGTGTCGCAAGCTTCGAAGGTTCGCAAGATGTCCCACCACACGGAGCCATTCTCTGCTGTCACCGGTGCGAAGCATCCAAGATCTCTGGAGACAGGCCATACAGGCGCCGCCAGAAGTGTGGACCAGGGCAAGCCTAGTGGAGCATAAGTTCTCCTTGGCTGCTTTTGTCGATGTCGTCGGGAAGAGGGGGGGCCCCGCGATCAAAGGCATTTGAGTTTGTGTTGTTTCCGGGAGATAGTCAGTTTTAAGTCCCTTGTCTTCTCGCATGTCCAGGTAGCTGAGGCTGCCGCCGAGGTTCGGGACCCATTCTACCGAGCTCTGCTGCTTCTTGTAATTCCTGCCTGCTCGGAAGGTCCCTGAACAGCAGATGCTGGTCGTACCTCTCGAGGCGGGCGGTTGGCGGTGTGATCTAGCCTGACGTTGTTCTACAAGGTTTGGGCATGGATCGGTTGTGTTGTTTTCAGGAGACAGTCCGAGGTAGGTCCCTCGTCTGCTCGCTTGTCCAGGTAGCTGAGGCTGCCGTCGAGGTTCGGCACCCATTCCACCGAGCGCAGGGTTTGACAGCCCTAGGTTGCATGCCACAGTCCACGGCTGGTCAGGCTCCGCCGCTGCCGGCGCCTCTGACACCTCCGCCTTCTCCTCCCGATCCTCAGAAGGACTCCTTCTAGACCGCAAGGGTATGCTGCAACTAAGTCATCGAACTCGTAGGTGTGCTCTGAATCGCTGGACACAGGAGGCAGATAAGGCCGAAGTGCCCGAGGAGGCTCGACGGAGGAATGCAAGAGTTTTGTATCCGGTGCCAGCATCGATCTGTGGTGTTCCATTGCCCGCTGTGAAGGCTTCAGCTTCGTCTGGTGTGGAGCCCTCGGTGAAGCTGGAGCAGACCGTCGCCTGGCCGGCGAACGTGGGATTGCCGAGAGGGTCTTCGGGATAAGGGCTTTGGATTGACGATGTTGCCACGTAGGGATACTGCTAGTATAACTACGACGACAACAGCAACAGCGACTACTACTACTACTACTACTACTACTACTACTACTACTACTACTACTACTACCACTACTAATACTACTACTGCTAGTCCTACTAGGAGGTCCGGGGCAGGGGGGGGGACCCTCCCTCCCAAGACTCCTGGGCCCTTTAACCCACGTCCCGCGACCCCTGCTCCCAGCCCTACTTCCCTGGTCCCGTAGTACAATTGTTGCTAGTACGGCAAGCACTAGTGATATCAGGAAGAAATAGGTCCGGGGCAGGGGGGGGGACCCTCCCTCCCAAGACTCCTGGGCCCTTTAACCCACGTCCCGCGACCCCTGCTCCAAGCCCTGTAATCTGCCCTGGTAGCCATGACTACTGCTGTTACTACTACTACTACTACTACTACTACTACTACTACTACTACTACTACTACTACTACTACTACTACTACTACTTCTACTACTTCTACTACAACTACTACTACTGCTGCTACTACTACTACTACGACCACTACTAATATTACTACTGCTAGTCCTACTAGGAGTCTGGAATAGGTCCGGGGCAGGGGGGGGGACCCTCCCTCCCAAGACTCCTGGGCCCTTACAATTGTTGCTAGTACGGCGAGTACTATGAATGCTGCCAGTGATATCAGGAAGAAATAGGTCCGGGGCAGGGGGGGGGAAGACTCCTGGGCCCTTTAACCTACGTCCCGCGACCCCTGCTCCGAGCCCTACTCCCATTACAGCCACGGCCAGTACTGGAACCATTCCTGGTGTTAGACCACGACGGTATGGGAGAACAAAAGGGGGCTGGGGATTGGGGTGGCGGGGTACAGCAAAGGGCCCAAGAGTCTTGGGAGAGAGGGTCCCCCCCCCCGATCCCAAACCTATTCATTCCTGGTAGTACTAGCAGTAGTACCAGCAGGAGTACCTAGTACTGGTACTACTACTACTACTACTACTACGACTACGACTACTACTACTACTACTACTACTACTACTACTACTACTACTACTACTACTACTACTACTACTACTACCACTGCTGATGCTACTGCAAGTAGAAGCAGAAACTACAGACAGTCACAACCCAGGTTGCAGAGATCCTGGCAGCTGCCCGGACACGGCAGCCGTGGGAGGTTATGTGGCAGGCGTTCATGGAATTTGCGGATGACAATCCGGCTATGCGGGCTGAGATGCTGCTCGTCTGAATTCGAAAGTGCTGTCTGCGGAAGGTGGCATGCATCTTGCTTGCCCCACAAACGAACTGAGGCGAAGTCTCTCGGAGGCGGATCGCCAAGGCCTCTATCTTTGCTTGGCTCCCGAGGAGAGGCGAGAGTTCGCCCTGGTCGCTCTCGAAGAACTTGCCGCCCTGTGTAGCTACAGTGAGGAGCAAAAAAAGCTGGGACATGTGAGCGCTTGGGCACTCCTGACACGTGAAGCTCGCATGTCGTACATTCAAGCAGATCCTGCAACATTCCTCGCTGGAAGTCCAGCTGCATGGCGAGATCATTTGTCGCATTACGGGTGGAACGACCTCGACCCTTCTGCAGCTTCTGGGAACGATGTCCTTGAGCCGAGCCAGCAGCAGCTGGCAGTGCTTGTGAGCAGAGGTCTGCGATCGGGTCCAGCCCAAGGGGTGCAGGCGAAGCCGGGTGCGATGAAGGTGGAAGGTCCTGCGAAGGCAGAGCTGCTGCGTGTGAAGCAGGAGCAGCCCACTGCGATTACTGCCGAGGCCCTGGAAGCCCAGCTGACAGCTGGGTCCATCTACAGGCCCCTGTCGCAGAGCATGTGCGACATAGCACAGGTGATCCGTGGCCTCATGGCTGTGTGCAATGCGCGGGTTCGGAAGCCTTGGACTGCTGACATCGGTATCTTGAATGCCGGCAACGAGCAGATCGAGGGCCAGGCTTCTTGAGTGTCAGAGGCATGTCAGCACGGTCCTCGCAGTTGTATACAGCGATAATCCCGGCCATTGGGCTTTGCTGGTCGTAGACAAGACGACGACCGAAGCATGTCTGTATGATGGCTTGGGCTCCGCTGCTTGTGCCGATATGGCCCGGGCCTTCCTTTTGAGCGACGAGCTGCGGATCTGGGCCGGGGAGCACATGAAGTCCATCTCGCTTTCCATCTGTCAGGTAGCTCCTCAGAAGGATTCGTGGTCTTGTGGCCACAGGGTCATCGCGAGTGCAGATCTAGTGCTCCAGCATCTCGCTGCATCCGGTAGCCTGCCAAAGTCACTGCAAGGCCCCTCCTCGGAAGACATCGCACAGTTCATGGCGCCTGCCTCGTCTGCATCAGCATCAGCAGCAGCAGCACCTGCTGCGGCTGGGAAAGCTGCGAAAGGCACAGAGTCTGGGCCAGCAGGAGCTTCCGACTCGGAGTCCAGGATCTTGTCCACCCTGGCATCATCTGGCGAGGCTGAGATAGCACCGAGCACGCCGAAGCGGCAGAAGGTCCACTCAGGAAAGGAGCCAATATCCCCTCCACCTGTGAGTCCTGCAGTCTCTCGTGTGCCTCGCCGAGGGAAAGCGGAGCGCCGTGCCAGAAGCAAAGCAGGGAAGGAGCAGGAGCCAGCACCGAAGAAGATGAAAGCCAGTGAGTGTCCTGTGAGCCATCCTGTCTTCCAGAAGAAGCACTGCCTGGCGGACATGCCTGCTGTGGGGGGTCACTGGGGCATCTTCTTGCAGGCCTGCGCAGACCCTTCCATGATCATAGCTTGCCCTGTCTGCTGCGACCTGCTCAAAGAAGTGCGGCCAGAGACTGGCAGTGCCGGCGGAGCAAGCGACGCTGGGATGGGTGGGAACCAGGTTGTGCCGGCTGCCGATGCTGCTGAAGAGAGGGAGGATGCAGACTCCAGCTCGGGTGAGCCGGAGGGGAAACGGAGAGCCGGACGGCGTCGCAAGGGCGAAGTGCCCTCCTGGTGCCTTCAGTGCCTTCATGCTTGGGTAAAGGCTCGGCGGCAGGATGTGTATGTGCAGACCGACCGGAGCTATCAGAAGTCTGCCACGTACTACTGCAGACCCTGTGGCAAAGAGATCCAGTTTCAAACTGCCACATGCAAGAAGAAGATCCTGAGACACGAGGCGTACAAGACACACATCCAGGGTCTCGCAAAGTTGAGGGGCACTTTGGTCCAGGCCCCTAGCCGTGCGGGTGCGGCAATTGTTGCCTCGGACACCTCGCAGCCGTGCTCGGGAATCCTGGCCTCAAAGCATGCACTGCACGAGAGCATCACCCTCTTCGTCCAGCACGGCCAGCCGCGAATGCACTATGCCAAAGGAGAAACCGACCCCCTGGAGGCCATCCGTTTCGAGGTCCTCAGCAGCGACATCAGCATCCGGCATGCCAAGTGCTTGGGGGTAGTGGGGCAGTCCATGACGGCCTGCTCCGAGTGTGTGCAGGCCTCCAAGGCCAAGAGTTTCAAGCTGGCAGTGGCAAAGCAGGCCTACGTGATCGACCTTTGCATGCTGACTCACCACTGCTACCACAGCACGGCCCAGGAGCTGGAAGAGTTCAGAGCAGCCTTACCCGGTCGGGACTATCAGCTGGCGGGCCTGGCCGGTCAAGACCTCGATCGGTACCTGCGGATCAAGAACAACCTCGAGGTATGCCGTGCCATCGCATCCAAGTTCGAGTGTACCCCTGCATGGCGTGTCTCAGATTCGCTGCGTAGGCTCTTCGAGCTATGGTTGCACAGGCCACATCGGTCGCATAGCACGGACACGGAGGCCGAAGCACACAGCTCCCTCGTACGGGGCATGGCTGCTTCGCTGGTTGCTGGCCGCTGCAGAGAGAAAGACCTGGTCCTAGCAGCCCGTGTAGCGGCTGGGGCGCTCAGGGCAGACGTGATCGTGCAGAGTCTCTGCACAAGCTTCCTGTCCAAAATGGTGAAAGGACTCCGGGACGTGAGGCAAAAAACTACAGGGGAGTTTACTGACTACGAGGTGTTGTCGGAGTCTTTGACCACACTTGGACGGCATGAGGAGGTAGTCAACTTGTTGAAGACCTTCAAGGTGAATCCCAAAAAGCTGAAGGTTCTCTCCCTGCACAACGACCGCTATCCTCTGCCTTACGCCTGCTTGTCCAACAAGGCCCAGATCCGTGAGAACTGCCTCCGTGCTGCCAGCCACCTCCGCAATGCCGGGTCTCGCTCACACTTCATCGTTGATGAAACTACCTGGTCACCTAGCTGGTCTCAGGTCCGTGGCTTGACAATGAACGGCGATGGCACCCTGCAGGATGCCTGGGTGGGTGGATGCTAGTCCAAGGATCCGGACCAGGACTACAGCATCTTGGACCCTGCATCCCACGACAAGCACTCCTTGCCTGCTGATCGGCTCGCCAAGCTGGCGATGCACGTGTGTATGCAGAGATGCGACAATCGCAGTTGGGTGTTCGACATCCTCGTGGTGCCGCGAGCACCAGCAGCTGGCAAAGCATGCACTGCGAGTGAGACCTTGGAGATGGTTGCAGATGTCTTCCAGGAGGCCACGACCGCTGCCGGCGGTGTTGCACCACATGGCCTGGCCTTTGATGGGGGCTCCAACAACCAGCGACTGCTGCAGATTTTCCTTGGCCACTCCGACTTGCGTCTGCAGGAATCTCTACCCTTCTTCAAGGACTGTGTGATCGATGACATGCTGCAGCAGCTGCCCTTTTGGCCGCACCGCTTCCTCCGGCACGACCATCGCATTCTGGTAGCCTTCAACGGTGCATACCACTATCAGAAGCGGTACAGCCTGGCCCACTTAGCTGGATGTAGGAAGATCCGACATGGAGCCCTATTCGCAGACCTGAGCATCGAACTCTGCAGTGGGCTACCTCACTCGGCGTATCTGGTCAGCGATGCGCAGAGTGATCTTGCTGCAGCACAGAGGATGTCCACACCATTCGTGGGCCGGCAGTGGCAAAGCCCCGGCGTGTTGCTCCACGCATTCGTCGGAGCTCTGATCTGCTCGTGCACTACCGCCAGCCCAGGCTTCAGTCGAGAAGACCTCTGTCTGAACGCAATGTCCGCGATGTACCTGCTCCTGTTGCACCGTGCCGAAGCCGCCAGGCAGTGGCCTGAATGGGCAGAGCGGAATCGCAAGAGTCTCAGTGACATCACCGTCAAGAACGGAGTAGCCCTCATGCACTTCGTCGTCGTCGCTTGCTTGTGCGACGATACGGAGCCGCGCAGCCTTCAAGAACTTGCCATTGAACATCATTTCGGACGACTGAAGGCTCCGTTCAAAGGTGACCCTCACTCAGAGACTGTCTGCTGGGACACCGCTCTCTCTGCGCAAGGCAGGTGCTTCAGCTCAGCCGGATGCCAGAAGCTGCCCTGCAAGAACGCTGCTCATCCTTTGCCCGGCCGGCCTTGGATATGGACACCTTGAAGAACATTGCCAAAAAGGCACTCCGTACGGCTCTTGAGTTCCAATGCTTCATCTCTGTGGACACTGCCCCAAGCGAGCTGTATGGCGACTTCCAGAAGTGGTGGAGAAAGCAGGGCATGGATCTGTTTCGGAGTCCCGATGCGGCGGCCAATGCTTTCGATCTCTTTGACATCACGCCCGAACTCGAAGAGGACCTCGAGCCCCCGGCAGTGGGTGACACCAAGGAGCAGCGAGCGGCGACAGAGGTCTTGCATCAAGTACAAGACCGAGCTCAGCTCATCGCGGACATCAAGGCCATGGAGAACCCAGATGCCCAGGATATCCAGGATGAGGCGGGCAAGGAGGATGAGGAGAAGCAGGTGGTGCCCCAGCAGGCTGACAAGGAGCCACATGAGTCACCTCCTGAGGCGGTTGCCGCGGTGCCCACCAGCCTCAGCAACGTGCTGCAGGCAGCAAAAGTGAACGGCGGGGATATCTTCGACCTGGATTCCGCCAGTGCTGCGGGACAGACGGCCATGCTCCAGCGGGTTCTCCACATGTCGGGCTTCCTGCGATCTTTCATTCGGCATGCCAGAGCCCAGGAAGGACTCCTGTCCTTGAGCACTTTGAACTCCCAGCCTGCACCTCTCAACAGCTGGAACGAGCGGGAGCACCAGCTGGCAATTGCCAGGCGAGCAGCCAATGTTAGCCAGGTGCGACTCTCACGTGCACAGGCCTGGCAGAGCAGCCAACAGAGACTCGCTGTCGATGTCCGTCCTCGCAACAGTCTCGCAACAGAGGCCGATCCGGGCCTCTCGCCGCCCACCACGTATTTTCCTTGTGGCAAAGATCGCTTCCAGATCGTGGCACACCTCTGGGGAGGCCAAGTGGGCATCGGCCTGATCCTGACCGTGTTTCGTGGAGCCTTGGTCAAAAAGCCTAACTCGTCGGAGTTGACAGTTCGCACTGCTCGCCCGTTCCCAGATGATCTCCCATGCGCATCTACACGAATGGTCCACATTGCGGGTTGCATCTTCAATCCGACGACGGCCGAGTATGCTACCTCCTGTGCGGAGTTGTGTATGCTCTGTGAACCAGTGAACTGCATCTACGGTGAACTGTCTCTGGCAGCATGGAGATCTACGAAGACACAGCTGCTGTTCCGGCTCACCCCTGCCGCAGCTGCCGCACTGAAGATCCTGCAGGCAGAGAAAAAGCTTCCCATCCAACCGATCCCGGAAACTACCGAGCAAACCGAGGAGGACACTGCTGCACCGGCTCCTGCTATGTCCGAGCCCTCCGATCTGCAGTTCAATGATCGAAGCTTCATGTGCCAGGGACTCGCACAGGCCACTTCCAAGTTTCTGCTGGCCCTGGAGGAGTGTTACCGGAAGAAGGGTTTCGCATTTGTGGATGCCTCTACCGGACTGGTGCATTTCGAGAAGGTGAAGAGCACTCCGTGGAAGGACCTCGTCCAGCGTGTGCCTGGCTTCCTGCAGGTGGAGTTCGCCGGCCTGCAAGGGCATCGCTTCAGCCGAGCCGTGCACTCCAAGTTCAGCCAGCTGCTCCCGACCAACGGTGCCTCGTCCTTTTACTCGTAGGTTGCTGCATATCTCTAACTTGTGTCTCCAAGCAGCCGGCCGAGGCCCCGAGAGCGTGAAAGCCCTCAAGGTTTTCCTGGGACTCGTGGCGTCAAAGGCGCCTGGAGTGATAGATCTCGCGAAGATCTGACATGCAAGAGGCGGCCCATGAAATCCTTCAGACCTCCATGGCTCTCGTATTGTTAGGTTCCAGGGTCCTAAGGCTGAGGGTTTCGGCACTGTTTCGGATTTACGGGCAGGGTGTAAAGTTCATAGGGTCTCCGGTTCCAGATGCTCCACGGTTGTTCCAGATTTCGGGGCTCGTGCTCTGCTCCGCACATTCGGCTGGGGGAGGCCGAAGCAGGCGACTGCGAAGGGGTTGCATAATCACATAGTTGCATCTGCTCGAGTTCAGCATGTTCAGCCAACCAGCTTTCCATCCTTGCGGTCGCTTGCAAATTTCCGTTTCACACCGAGCCCGAGGGGAGGCGACCAGGTACTCGAAGACGCGAGTGCCGAGGAAAACAATCGAGTGGCCAGCGAGTGTTGCGAAGCATGAGACGGATGAGACGGGTATCAGCCTCATATTTAACATGCATTTATGCTCCCCCAATTGCCTGGTTAGAGTGGTTCCCCCCCCCCCCCCCAACCCCCCCCGGAAATAGGGCCAGCCTCATTCCCACGACCAACCCCCACACCCCCCCCCCACCTAGGGAGGGGGTATGGCGCGCCCTCACCGCAGAGCCCCTCGCCCCTGCCACCAACGCGACTCTCGCCGAGCTCCGGGATCCCATGCGGCGCCCGGCCGAACCGTACGGTCCCCTACCATCCGAGGTCACCAGCTATCAGCCCCCCGAGCCATGCCCGTTCCCGCTGCCTGCCTTCCTCGCCGGCCTGCGGAAAGCGAGGCGTGGAGCTGCGGCATCCTCTTAATCCTCTTAGACGACGAGGTCGGCAGCCAATTCCTGCACTGCGCCGCGCAGCGCCTTGCACAAGCCGATGTGCCCGCTGCGGCCCTCGCTGCACTCCGCGTCGGAAGAATCGTCGCTCTGCAGAAGCCGGATGGACGCGGCATCCGCGCCCTTGTGATAGGCGACGTCCTGCGGCGACTTGTATGGCGGGTGCTCGCGCAAGCCTTCGCGCTGCGACTCGAGACTGCGTGACTGCCGTACCAATACGGTCTCAGCACTCGTGCTGGCGCTGAGGCTTTGCCACGCGTCCTGAGGGCTGCAACTGAAGTCGACCCTCGTGCAGCAATTCTGTCCGTCGACGCGGTTGGCGCCTATGATCACGTATCTCGGCAGGCAATGCTTGCGGCCCTGCATGCCCGCCCAGAGCTCCGGCCGCTCCTCCCGTATGCTCGGCAGTTCTACGGTGCCGCCAGCACCTACACATGGACTGATGGGCAAGGGGCTTCCCACAGCATCGTGCAAGCTGAGGGCGGAGAACAAGGAGATCCGCTGATGCCGGCCTGTTCTCGCTTGCGCAGCACCCCGCGCTTGAAGAGGTACAGGGGCAGCTGCGAGACGGGGAGGCCATCTTTGCGTATCTCGACGACACATACATCGTCGCCACCCCCGAGCGCGTCCACGAGCTGTACTTAGCATACCAGCGCGCATTGTGGGCCCACGCGCGCATCGAGCTCAACAGTCGCAAAACGCGCGTTTGGAACGCGGCGGGCGAGGAGCCGCCGGGCATTGCAGCGCTGCAGGGCGAAGCTGACAATGCCGTGTGGGTCGGAGATTGGACGCTCCCGCCTACTCATCAGGGGCTCGCTGTTCTCGGCACGCCTTTTGGCAACGACGCCTACGTCCAGCAGCGCTTGGCCCTGAAACGCGAACAGCACGACCGCCTCCTGCAGCGCATCCCGTCTGTTCAAGACTTACAGGCAGCTTGGCTACTATTGCACTACTGTGCAGTTCCACAGGCAAATTACCTTCTGCGTTCCCTGCCCCCAGCCGCGACAGCAGCCTATGCTTCCTCACATGACGCAGCCGTGAGAAGCTGCCTCTCGGCGCTCTTGGGCCTTGCGGACGAACCGCTGCCCCCCCAACCAGCACGGGCAGCGCGGCTCGCGCTGCGGTTTGGCGGACTCGGTCTGCGCGCAGCTGACGACGACCGTCACGCAGCCTACTGGGCTTCCTGGATGGACACCCTGCCGGTCATCCAGGCCCGAGTCCCCTCAGCTGCGGAGCGCCTGCTCGCAGCCCTGCGCGACAACAGAGCTGCGCGGCTGCCTTCGTTCTTGGCATTTCTTGGCTGCAGCCCAGGCAGCGGCTTACTTGACCACCCAGGGCTCCGCAGTGCCGTCATGGGACGAGGCCATCTCCACTGTGCCAAGCCCGCAGTCTCAACACGACGAGCCTGCAGACTTCCTGCGCGGATGGCAGCGCAGAGCTTCCCACGCTTGCGATGAGCGCGCGCTCGAGACGCATTTTGCTGATTTGTCCACTGCGTCCCGGGCGCTGCTGCTCTCTCCAGCTGGTCCTCACGCGGCCCGAGCCTTCACGGTACTGCCCACGTCGGACGATGTTGCAATACCCGACTCACACTTCCGCGTCCTGCTCCGGTTGCGCCTGCCCCTCCCGCTCGGCCCGCGCAGCTGCTCCTGCCACGGCGTGCTTGATGCGTACGGAAACCATCGAGCTGCATGCTCCACATCAGGCGTGCTCGCCTCCCGCGCACTGCCCCTCGAACGGGCCATCGCCCGCGTCTGCCAAGAAGCCGGGGCGCGTGTCGGGCGCAACGTCGCGCTGGCCGCCATGAACATCGATGTGCCGGTCCAAGACGCGAGGCGCATCGAGGTCGTTTGCAACGGCCTCCCGCTCGTCAGCCCAGTGACCAGAGATGGCCGCCCGCATGACGGCGCAGAACGCCACCCGGGTTGGGCCGTCCGCGGTGCTGCGCGGCGCAAACGCAGGCAGACGTACCCCGAGATCGACCGCAGCCGACGCTGTCGCCTTGTCGTTTTCGGACTCGAGGTGGGTGGACGTTGGGCTGACGAAGCTGCCACCTTTGTTCGCCTCCTCGCCCGGGCGCGGGCCGCAGGTGCCCCCGCCGCTTTGCGCAGCACCGCCCAAGCCGCCTGGGTTCTCCGCTGGAGTGGACTCATCTCCGTTGCGGCGCAACGTGCGCTCGCTGCCACTTTCCTTGAGCTACCCCTTCAGTCGGAGCTTGGTGCTGCTGGCCCGCCACCAGCTTTGCACGAGCTTCTCGCAGACGCTCGCTGGCAGGAGGCTCCTGAGCCAAGCCGCCTCCCTGCCCGTGCGTGAGTGGCGAGTTGCTGCCGTAGGCTGCAGTTGGCACTGGGACCCGGACCTCTGTCACGTGCAGTAGCAAAAAGGTGCGTGTAAAAAAAAAAGAGTTGTTTCAATCCCCACTGGGTGTCTTTCAGATTTCACGCTGCCTGCGACGTCTTCCCTTCGTGCTGAGCAAAAGCTGGCTTCTCCTGTTTGCTGCGCAGGACTGTGACACCGTGCGTTGTATCCATCTTCCGCGAAACTCTTTCGGTGGTTCATGTGGTTCGCCTTCTCCTTTTTGCAAGCTTTTGTCGCTGCTGCCTCGGGTGAGCTATGTCGACGCCGCCAGACTGGGGTGGCACTGCCCGACGCCACGCCTATACACGTCATGACACGTCCCCTCCTCGCCGCTGTCCGCGGCCGGGCCACCACACGACTGCTAGGGCTGCATGCCCGGTCTGCCTCTTCGAACCGTCCCATGACGCCGAGGCTGAGGACACTACATTCCCGTGCTGCGATGCGCTCGCACCTCTCCTGTTTGGTTAGTTGCGCTCGTTTGCACGGCAGCTGCCCGAGTTGTCGCGCCACACTATCGACAGGCTGCGAGCGCGCTGCGAAGCGCTCGGCATCGACCCTGCAGCGCCCCTCAGCCACCAGACAGCCTATGCAATTGTTCGGGACTGCGCAGCGAGGGCTTTCTCTAGTGCTGACGCGGCCGTACCGCCCGAACCGGACCGCGTGCGCGCCCTTTGTTGCCGCCGCCTCTCCGGACAAGCGTTTGGGGTCGTCGAGCTCCGTAACGTGCGCGTGCCCTGGGCCCCGGGACCGAGGCATCGCCTCCTGGACGCCGCAGTGGCTTTGCATGCGCTGTTAAAATGTGCTGCTAGCTGCATGCGTCCAGCCGCATGGACCGCCTCTGCCACTAGGCCGCCACCACTGCCTGCCTGACGCTCATGTTGTAGGAGGTCGACCTCGCATCGCACACCGAACGTTGGGTGCATGTGCTCTCGATGCCCGTTTGCTCGCATGGCGTGGCCGCTGCCGCCGGCCCGGCCCAAGCGCCCGAACAGCTTTTCCGTGTTTATCCGAGGTGCCTGGGCTCGCAAGGCTTGGCGCGGCCACAAACACGGCGGCGCCTACGGACGCGCAGCCTCCCGCCTCAAAGCTTCGTCCAATATGCCGAGCTGGAACCACCACCGTTGCCACTAATCACCAGCACAATCCAGCACATAAACTTGTTCCGCTTTTGCATGCTCTCCGCTGGCGCACGGCGTGCGTGGCACACACATCCCATTATCGGCGAGTGGTGGCCCACCGCCGTTATACCGCCTTTCTTGCCTATCCCCGACCTCGCGCACGCCCTCGAGGACGTCAGCAGTGCGTTCAACCCTTCGTCGCGGCACCTCTCCCAGTCGCTGCGGCGTTTTTTCAGGGAGTGGACCGCACTGCGGCATTCGCAAGCCACCTCGCTTGCCGAGCTCGTTCGAGCCATTTCCGATCCGAGGGATGGGCGCTGCCCGGCTGCCCCACTGCAAGAAGCGTTGCTTACCGTGCTCTGGGTGAAGCTGCCGCCTTCACGCTCGAGCGCTCAGTTGATAGCTTCAAACGTCAATCTGTTGCGCCGGCCGCGGCTTCACGCGCATCCGACCCGGAGGCTTCGAGTCTCGGAACGCTCACGCCAATCGTTGCCCGTCGCTGCACAAGCAACTGCAGCCCACGCCCGGGCTGGGGCCCGCGGCCCGCGCAGCGCGGTGGACGCGGACGAGGGCGCCGGCCACCGAATGACAACTCATTCCCCCTACCCGACGCCCGCAGATAACCCCGATGCCAATCGGGCTGGCACTGCCGCGCAACGCCGACTCGCCGCGGCAGAGGACGGCATGAGGCTGGGCTTGATCTCGCGAGATGACATCTGCCTTGATTTAAAATGAATTAAACACCGTCCGCTGCCGCACTCTCACTCTGCAAGGAGTCCCCGCCCGCTTGCGTGGGGCACTTCGCACGGCCATGCGGACGCGGCTCGAGCTAATCTCGGAACGAACGTTGCCGCAGCAGGAGCTTCTAAAATAAACACTCTTCCAATGGCGCGCATCCCCTCCGCTGAACTGACGCAGCGCTGCGCGGGGAGTGGTTACCCCTCCTCCATGCCGCTGCCTTTGCCGCCGAAGGCCCCGACGACGTCGAGGCCGCGCTGCAGCGCTGCGGGCCGCGCCTTGACTGCCGAGCCACTCGCGCCTGCCACCGATGCTACACTCGCTGAGCTTCGGACTCCCCGAGCCGTACGGCCCCTTGCCCCCGGAGATCACCAACTATCGGCCCGAAGAGCCATGCCCGTTCCCGCTGCCATCCGCTGCCTAGCTTCCTGAGTGGCCTGCGGAGAGCACGGCGCGGAGCTCGAACGAGCATCTCCGCATCCTCTTGGATGACGAGGCCGATAGCCAGCTTCTGCATTGTGCTTGCGCAGGCCGACGTGCCCCGGCTCTTGCCGCCATCCGCGTCGGCCGGATCGTCGTCCTGCAAAGCCGGACGGACGTGGTATTCGTGCCTCCGTGATAGGCGACGTCCTGCGCCGGCTGGTTGGACGGGCGCTCGCGCAAGCCTTTGCCCGCGACTCGAAAGCGCGTGCCTGTTTTAGCAGTACGGCCTCAGCACGCGTGCTGGTGCTGAGGCTCTGCCGCGTCTCTTTCAATACCGAACGCGACGGGCCTGGCTGAGCTGGACGGAGGGAGGGAGGGAGGGACGGGCGGACTAACCGTTTCGATTCTTGCCCAAGCAGCGGGGAATCCAGGTGTGAGGGCCGTGCCGCATGTTGACTGTTTGTCCGCACCCTCAGGCAATCTTTTCGGTTTGGCGAAACGTGCATACGGAGTCGAAGCGTGAGCTTGAGAGTATTTAGTGGAGTTTGGTCAAACGGCAAAAAGGAAGACAAACAACTTCTTCAACAGCTTTGTCTTTGCGCGTTTTGAATCGTCTTGCCGTCCTTGTATTGTTTGGTGCCGGCCGGTCAGATTTATTAGCAAGTTGATCAGAGAAGGAAAGCTGCACAGACTGTCGTTTGCAGGCGTTGGGTAGCATACCACCGTGCAGAGCAGCCTGCCATCCGTCAACACGCATGGTGCGGCAGCACACACTACAGCAACGCTTGTAACAAAGCCAGAATTAACGTCGGCCGCATGATGGCTCTGCCTGCCTCAGATGTGCACGTTGCAAGTGCAGGCACGGCTTTCTATGCTCGGTTGCGGTGCAGAGCAGCCTAAACGGGCATGCGTTCTACCACATTGACCGAAAGGTGCACAAGGAAGCCGCGAACGCCCAGTTCCATTGAGCGCTGATCACTGGCAACAGGTGCAAGTTGGGCCGCTGTGTTGTGGAAGAGTTGCTGCGTTGTCGTGCGGGAAGGTCGATGAAGCTCTGGACGTGTTGGTTGGCGTCCTCAAAGCAGGCCACACCAAGGCCTGATCCAGCAAGAGCATGAGGGGAGCAGTGCATCAAAATTCCCAGAGTGCAAAGAAGAGACACGTTATCCAAGTAAAGGTTTTGTTTGGGTGAACATTCGCCACGCCACGCGTTCGTGATCGACAGGATGCCAACATGTTGGCCGCCGAACTGCGATGTCACTTGCTATCGTTGCAGCGAAACGCCGCTTAGCAGCACATGTGCAACGCCATTCCATGATGTGGACCCAGCATGTGTATCTGATGCGATGGTGCACTTGCTGGGTATGTTTAACCTTGCAGATCAGCACCTGATTCCACAGTAAAGCTTTGTATCATTTTCCAACCGCAGCATGCCTCATCATGTTGGGCATGTGTTTAGCCCAGGATCAGCTCTGGCAGGCCAGAGGTTTTTGGGCTGCGGAATGTTAGTGCCCGGACAGACATGCCACCGATGTCCAGGAAGAGCTCGAAGAGAACAAGAGGAGCGTGGCCGACTTGCGTCAGGCCCATTATTCAAGCACGCACCAGCCCAGGGTCGACCTTTGCTCTTCTAAGCTTGTTAAGTGGTACGGTAGTTGGCACGCTTGGGTCGGAAACTGAAGGAGTGCAAGGTTGCAGTACTCATATAATGTATCATCGTGTGTAAAACTCGGTATAACTTTATAACATGTACATGTTGAGCTGCAGTTGGCGTGGTTGACATTGCCAGGAATTGAGACACACGACTGGCAAGTTGGACGAGGTGGGGCATCCAGGGTGCTTTCGTGGTCCAACATGACATGTCAAGCATGCCCCAACCCAGGCCAGCAACGTTTGGGATTGACAGGTGGTCCAAGAACTCAAGGAAGCCGATGCGAACAAGATTCGCGCAGAAGTTGAATTGAAGAAGCTTGCAGCAGCATTGTGTTGATTCAGTACGCGTGGCCGATAGGTTCCTTGACGGTTTGTCTGTGTGCAAGGGCGAGTTACAAAGCTAAGGACCATTTCACAAAAAACGCTTGAAAGCAAGGACTTGAAACACAGTCGCCTTCAACATGTTGTGCTTGCATATGCGGATCGGTCGCAGGAGGACCAAGTGCGAATACAAAGTAAACGGCAGCAGCTGCTTGCCGAGCAAGAGCGCTTGGAAACACAGCGGCTGCAGCAGGAGGCATAGCAAAGATTCTGGCATGTGTTTCTTCGTGTGTGTGCGTGTGGGTATGTGTACGTGCAGCACGACCTTTCGAGCCAGTCTTCTTTGCAAAGTTTGTAGACAACTCAACCCAATCAATGAATCGGGACAAGCCGTCACGACCTGTTCGAACTGCGAGATCATGCTTCCCGAACCAGAGTCCAGTGCAGCTGGGCGCAGTGGTGTGACGGGCGAAAGCATTGGGGCGCCTGAGACGGACGGTAGGATGTTTCGTTGCAGGTCAAAAGGGCACCAAAAGCTAACACCCGGGAAGGGGGTGGGAGGATGCCAAACCACCGGCGAATCCGAGCCCTGCATGCTGCACTGTGTGGCCAGCGTAAGTTTAGAAACCCCACATGTCACCGAAAATGATACAGTAGATGGATGAAGCCTGTCCGGAAAATGCAGCTCACCAATTTACTGGGATGTCGATTAGCAAGTGGTTATGTGCCTGTATGCATCTGATTCTCGTGGACGAAAGCGATGGGCACGATTGCCAGGAAATGCGTCGACTCGCAGCCTTGGAGGAGCGGCGCCAGGAGGCGGCCCGACAGGAGGAGCGTCAGCGGCTTGCAGAGCTGCAGCGATTGCAGCATGAAGCAGAAGAGAAGCTGCGCAGAGAGGAGCTGGAGAAGCGCCTGGAGTCCATCCGACGTCAAGAGGAGGAGAAGGAGAGGCGTGCGGCAGCAATGCAACAGGAAGAGCTGCGGCAGAAAGAAGCCGAACAGCACAGGAGCCAGTTGCAGCAACAAGGCTTGCAAAATAGCGGGTGTGACGAGATGAACCGAGATGAGCAGCTAGAGCAGGTCGAGCAGGACCAGGAAAACCAAGAAGGCAGAAATGGCGAGGAGGTTCCGCAGCAATCAGGTGAGGACTTGCCTGAAGATGCAGCTCGGGCAGGACCGTGTGCACACGAGGAGCATTGCAACCAATCGGAGCTTGATATGAAGCGCGAGAAGGTGGAAGACTTAGACAGCCACAAAGAGGGAACGTGCAAAACTCAGGTGTTGGAGCAGGAGCCAAGCGCGAGACAAAGCCAACAAGAGGAGATCCAAAAAGGGTCAATGAAGACGACCGAGCCGCAGGTGCAGGACCATGATTGCAAGGAGAACCCTCTGCAGGAGACATGCCGTGCCATAGAGAAGCCTTATTTCCAAGACGTAGGATGACCTGTAGCCCCGCGTCGTGCGAGAATGCCCTGTGTCTAATATGCTGTTACTTGTACAAAGTTGTCGAACGATGTCTCGCCTGCAGAATTGCTCAGCGAACACACGAAGCTGAAGTGTTGCTAGAGTCTGAGCCAGGAGCCGGCACTCTGTCCAGGGGCCATCGAATTACCACGCGTGGCGCTTCACGGTTTCCAGCCGGTGCCAGTGAAGTTATTAGAGGCACCCGAGAAAGAAATCATTCCAGATGCTTCGCCCGAGGACGGATGCTCCGACTTGACAGAAATTGATGCAACAACGGAGCCCCTGCACTCAGACGACCAGAGTCAACCGAGCCAAGCCGAGCAAACCGAGCAAGCCGAGCCGGAAGTTGCACCAGCAGAGCCGCTGCAAGTGAAAGAGCCGAAGCGCCCCCTGTGTTCCCCGGACATGATGTGGGGCCACGACCGAGAGCGACATCGCGGTGAGCTGTTCCTTGAGCTCGGCCGACGGCTTGGACGCACCGACCAGGACTCTTATCGGGGAGAGAAAGAAAGAAAAAGAGAGAAGTGAGAAGCGCAAGATGTACCTGCACGATGGCTTTTCTGAAGTCTTGGAGGACCAGCGGGCTCCCGGAGAGGCAAGCGATGCTGGGGGTTTGTGGGCATGCACTGGAGCTGGACTGCGCTGCAGGCGCCGAGCAAGGCCGCGGTCGAGGCCCCAAGCGCTTCCGCCGCCTCCGCAGCCTCCGCCTCCTTGGTGGCAGCCGAGGCCAGCCGTAACTTCTCAGAAGCCTCAAGCCTCTCTACCGGGAAGTTTGGATTCTCATACAGATCCAGGCTGCCCTGCGAGCTGCTGCTCAACAGCGGATGGCTTTTTGGCTGAGTTGCTAGCGTGTCCTCCAAGCGCACGCTGAGCCCCCTAAGAGAACCATGAGTGGCACTCCCGTGCATGCTTGTCTTCAGCCGCAGGCGGGTGTTGAGCAAGGCTTGAGTCGGTCATGCCTGCAGATCCTGTCTGGAAGCGTAGCCGTATCGTGCTGTAGCCGGTTTTCATCAGCTGATGGAAACATGTCTGAATACTCTCGCCCGTGTGGTCGTCCTGCCAAGTCGAAGAGAAGCTGAGGCAAGTGTGCAACATCTGGCAAAAGCCGCTCGCTCGGCCAGTTCCATGCTGGTGCTGGATCTTGGGCTGTGATGGTCGCAGCTGGACATGTCTGCCACACCGCCCGTAGCATCACCGCGAACAATACTCCAAGAAACCTTGTCAAGTCAAGTCAAGCTGCAGGGCCCGACGTGCGTACAGACGCTTTGCGCGTCCGGCCCTCGGCCGTATAGCCAAGTTGTCCGCTGGTTTGCTGCCACTGTCGAATCCTTGGCAGAAATTGGACGGAAGTGGATGGCTTTGCTTGCGTGTGTCTTTAACACACTTTGGCTGACAGCTTGTGGCGCCTGAGTGGGATCAATTTGTAAACAACAGCTAGTCGCCCTCTCAGCTCCCGACCCTACGCAGCCCCCAGCCCAGTTCACGATCACCCTAGCTCTGCTCCTTTATCATGTGGCGTTCCCGGATGCAGCATACGTGCAGTGACAGATTAGCAGGGAGGGCAAGGTCGGCCCCGGGCCCCGAAACCCCCAGTGCCGGCCGTTGGCCATGACTGGCTGGCCGCTGCGATGCTGGGAGGGCCTCTGCAAGCGGCTCCAGTCGAACAGACTAGAGGAAAGCTGGTCGGCAGCATCTGCTCTGCGCATTTTTGGCAGCATGCTCCAGTCCAGCCGTCTGACAGCTTAAGCCCTTCAGCCAGAGGACTTTTACCAGCTCGATGCGGCGCTGGGCAGTGGTGCCTTCTGCCGCTTCGGCCATGTCATTCCCGTTTGCCGTTTGCCATGATGTCAGTTGTCAATCTGGCGAAGTTTTGGCCTGAAGTGCTCTTTGTTTCCGGTGTGTTGGACTGTGGTTCGCGGCAATTGCCTTAAAGCCAACAGCATTGCTGTTTGCGTATGCAGAGGAAGACCACGTAACTGCAGAGAGGTGTAGGGAACAAGTGAAAGGCTTCACCTCGCATCTGGCAGCCACACCTGTAAACTGTAAACCAAAATTGCCATCTGTCTATGTATGTTATGCAAGCCCCAAGCTTGCGACTGCCTGCAGCTTGAACTTAGAGTCAGGGCGATTCAGTCAGTGCGTGCCAAAAAGTTTAGCTTGACCCGTGTACAGCATCTTGTCAAACAGCAAGCAGACGAGAGAAGCCGAGCGAAAGAGCGTGGCTGCTCAACAGATCTCAACAGCAGACGGATGAAGCAGCAATGCCAAGTCGCGCAAGCTAGGACACCGCAGCCCCGACACACTTCAGGAGGTGTGACCGTTCACTACGTTTGTAGCCCAGGCACTGTGTATTTGGGAACCTGCAAAAAGACGGGCGATCAGGCGGCCGCCTCTTGGACTAAGCAGCCGAGCTATGCCTTTCTGCGATATCCTGCGATCCGCATTTCAAGCCCTTGGCGGTTTGTGCTCGTGTCGATCACAGTCGTGTCGATGCCGAGTAATGCTAGCGTACTACTGAAAGCTGATAGCTACATGTACTGTAAATCAGCACGGCGAAGTGGCAGATGGATTCTTCGTGAATCTTGTGATCTTTTGGATCCATGATTACATGCTCAAGGCGTCCTTCGCTCCCTGATCATTGCGATCACAAGCAGCATGCAAGGTCAAGATCTTCAAGAGATCCAGCGAGAGCCAGGACGTTGGGACGCGACGTGGCAAGTGGTAGTTGCGTGTCGTCAGTGTTGCATGTTGCGGACAATCACGGCACAGCCAACAGCTTCAACCTTGTTGTGAAACAGCTTAGGCGAGAGGCTTTTGAGACCGAGAAAAGCATGCTCGAGCGCCTTTGCAATAATGGATAATAGCGCTTGGTGTTCATGCTGGCTACACAAGATATTTGACCTTCATTCCTGCCTGCTGTTCACCACACAAGGACCGTGCGACACCCCAACGTCATCGAGCCCTGGCTGATCCATAGCCGTAGACTTCATGTTAAGACTGATTCTGATACTGTATGACTTGATTGGGAGCTTCAGGGCATGGGTGCTTGCTGCGCTTCGAGCGCAGATTCAGGGAACCATGGGCTTCCCATGGCCTGGGCCGAAACTTGAAACCGAAGTGAATCACATAAGACGCACCGCCCCTTTCAGCAGAGTCTTGTTCGGTTTCGAGGAGCTGTTGAGTTGGTTCTTTGACGAGAGTGCCTGGCATCTCGTGGTGGAGGTGGGCAGCTGACAAAACGGAAGCGTTGTCACCAGCCCTGGGCTGCGACACAACTCGCAATCTGACCGCGCATATTTCAAGCTCGCGAAGTAACCTGAGTTCCAAGCATCCGCAGGGGTAAGTTGAGAGGTCGGCAAAGACAAGTTCAATGTGTGATGCCCACTGATGTTCTGCAAGACGCTGTTTGCGAAGTGAGAATGCCGCCTCAGTATGGTGAGGATCGTGGAGAGCACGAGTCTGAAATGTTCCGTGGTCCTCAAAACTAGTGTTCTGACAGGTCTGTTCTGGAGGAGAGCTGCTCGACAAGGTCTGCACAGCCTGGTTTGTGGCAGCCAACATAGTAAGAATCTCTGTGAACTGACTTGGCCTGGTCGTTTCATAGGATCGGCGAGGCGGGCTGGTGCCGCCATCGCGCTGTGTAGCAGATGCAGAGAAAGACCCCGCTCGCAGGTCGCAGAAGCCGGATCCCTCACGGAGAGGCTCGCCTCGATCCTGATGAAGCAGCCCCTCGGTTCGTGGGCTCTATCGAGGTTGAGCAGGTGCAAACCGTTGACTGCAGGGCCTCCCAGGTTTGGCTTCTCCACGAAAGTATCAGCCGGACCGCAAGTTTGGCATAGAACGAGACGAGAGTAGCCGAATTGGGCCATCGGGTATTATCATCACCAATGCCACTACCAGCACCGCCACTGTCGTCGGCTAGGCCTCTGCTGTACTGTGCGCTGGCAGCCAAGGATTTGTGATCCTTTGGCGTTCCTGCAACCCGACATGTTTTGCCAAAGTCTTGTGACATGGGTGCGTTGGCCACAGGCGGAGCATTACGGCGATTTGCGACCACACATATGTGCGTGTTTCTTTCCTGTCATCCAACACAAAAACGGCAGCCAAGGCATCAACAACACGTCTGCCACAGGGACCTGAAGCCAGAGCACTTTCTCTTCGCCCGTCCGGGTCCTCTTGATCAAGTGCCCTTGCCATCGGACCTTGATTATCCTTCCTTTTTTTGTCATCGTGTGGAGAGGCCGTCGGTTCAACTACAGACAGGTGTTGCAAAAGCATTCGTGCATTTCTTGATGGCCAAGGAAAATTATAGACTTTGGTTTGGCCTGTCGCTTCGAAGATGGCCAGATGTTCCACGATTCGCCAGGCACACGAGCTCATGTTGCAGACTGTCTCGGTGGGAGGGCAGCAGATTGGAGACCAACGGTTTGTGCATATTGCACTCGCCTGCGCCCGTTGTCGCAGGAACTGTGATGTATGTAGCACCCGAGACTTGGAGAGCAGCAACGTTTGAGAATCATCCTCGCGACCAGTCATGCATTCTACGGCACGAGCCTGTTCCGGACCAGTGACAGTCCTTGTCAAGACGTGTCAAGAATCAAGAACATCTTCTTCCCCAGTCCGCAGTGAGAAAGCACTGCATGCAACGATGGTCTTTACACAACAAACACACAAAAGCTTGTCCTGTTGTAGCTGTTCGCAGATAAGGAGATTTTGTCCAAGGGGTATCAGCCGCCCTTCTGCGATCTTTGGAGCTACGGCGTCGTGGCGTGGCCCGGTGCAATCACGAGGCTGTCCTGTGTCACAGTTGGCATCACGTATCGTGCCTAGACGATCAGTCTTGCATCAACTGCCGCACGGTGCTGCGGCAAAGGTATCTCACAATGAGCGGAATAAGCCCTTTTGCAGCTTGCCTTGGACCAGTCGGATTGCGTGTCTTGTTCGTGCAGTGGATGGTGCCGGGTTTGGTGACAAACAGTTGCAGAGCTCCTGGGCCGAGATGGCAGAGATCATGATGAGCTGAGGATGCTGACACCGCAAAGCAGGTGGCAAGAAACGTCAGGAAGGTGAACTATACCTTCGATGTGCCCTTGGCCGCACCTGTTCCACAAGCCTGGTGGGCTTCTTGCTGCAAAGTTTTCAATTCCGCATCGCGCGGTGCCAGGTTTGCCTGCACTAACTAAAGATACTAAAGGGCGATAAAGGGCGAGTATTCTCAGCACTGCCTTGTAAGGCGCCTTGCTGGGGCCACGTATCTGCAGAGGGCAAAGACTTCCTCAGCCAGCTGCTTCAGCTCCATGGGCTCGCATTTTGGTTGGTCTGTACAGTAGCTGTGTGGCTTACTTATTTTCGGTCCTTATCAGGTGCTTTAGCAACGGTCAGGGTCAGGCGGTCAAGGTCAGGGGCCCCCCCCTCAACCCGCACAATAGACAACAAGGAAGGGCTCCCCTCCACAGCATAAGGTGGCTATAACTTGTGCCGTAGTGTTGTGCACTCTGAACCGCAGCGAACTTTGCGGCCGCACGAGCAGCTGGGTATTGCGACCTTTGCAGCGCCCGCTTAGGGTGTTGTGGGCGCGTCTTGGCATTTTCCGGCCGGCACAGGCCAATCAAGTAAAATTCGGAACGACTACTCTGAGCACACCACTGACAATATAAGACGTCGGTCAGCAGGACTAGAGTGACTATATAGACGGCAGAAAGCCGATTGGCATGTGCTGGCACGATGGCGTGAGAATGCCAAAACACCCAGGAAGTTTTTTCTGCTGCCGTTCCTTTTCCATCCTTTTCCTAGCTTTCGTGGCTCTCTTGCCAAGTTCCATCTTCGCAAGCGAAGTAGCGAAGCAGTGAAGCACTGAGGAAGGATATCCACCTCCGCCTCACCGCGGAGGGTGCCCAGACTCACCGCTGGATATCTGAAGCAGCCCCGGGAGCGACAGCGCCTGGGCATTCACTTCGAGTGCTGGTAACCAGTACCTGCATACCGGCGAATGTTGTGAGAGGTTGGGCTGAAGGTTTCTTTCGTCTGAATTTGGAGTGCTTCTGCTTGTACAGGGCGTTTCTTTTGCACTGAGTTTTGTTCTCGTGGCGACCGTCTTTCGACTTTATGTTGTTTGGGCACGACAGACATCATCTTGCGATGGCTGCCGCTGTTCGGGTTCAGGGGCATATGCTGCGGATTTTAGTCGTTCGATCCAAAAGACGCCACAGAAACGGCAACTTCGCTGAGGCAGAGGCACTTCCCATGATGGACCAACTGGAGAAGTGGATCAAGGACAATTCATTGACTTCTGCAGACCTGCGCGGTATGGCGCGTCCTGTGCAGGAGAACCGCTTGTCCAGGGAACTCTACAAAAAGCACTTCTCCTGACCGCGAATCTCGAGGCATTTGCAGAGCCGCGGTTCTTAGCGCATCAGGCCAACTTCTCCGACCTTCAGCTGTTTTTGGGTCCTGCCAGGTGTTGGAAGAGAGGATCTCCAACTTTGCTTTCTGAGAGATGCGGCAAACATCGCTAAGACGTTAGCGCAAATTTTTCGAAGCCTTTTTCAGCTACATGCGCTTGCCAGAGCCGAGGCGCCGAGGCGCGGTTACCACAAGTCTCGCTTTTTTGGGGATAATTCTAATGGGGGCTTTTTTGGCTTAATCCCTATACGTAGAAAAGTGCGGTTTTGAGGTTGAAGCCGTCTGCCGTTACTCTCCTGGCCATGGCTCGCCTCGGCTATCCGGCAAGTGCTGCAGCTTCCATGTTGGGAAGTCCCCGGACAGACACGGTTGAACACACAGTTTAGGAAGTAGCCAGTCGTGGAGATGTAGCAATGTGGCTTGGAAGTCCCGTCCCATCGTCGAGGCGGTCTTGTGAAGCAACATGTCAGGACATTGTAAAAGATTCCGGGCTTAATCTGCATGGGAACTTCCCAGATAAAAAAAAAACGGGAAGAATGTCAAAGCATTACGCAGACTCCCCGGATCAGCGCCGCCAAGCGCTGCAGCATTTCTGACACGACAGGTTCGAAGCTGGGAGGTTGATGTCGTTGGGCAAAGGTGCCAAAGCCAAGTGTCAGGACTAAAACCCTCAGCTTCCCGCCCTGCGAAAGAGGAGGTCGATGCTCACAGGCCACAGGCCAAACGAATCTTTAACTGTCCGGCTTGGTGTGAGAATCACCCCTACCAGTTCCGCCGGTAGCTTTGTGCAGTAATCATTCATCGAAGCAGCGAGAGGATATCCCGAAGGTGTACGGAGTACTGATCTTAGCCGCCCGCTTGTTGCCGTACGGAGCTGTCGGAGCCCATGTTGGTAGCAGAGTAAGATAGGGCACGGGAGGCAAGCGATTCACTTTCGTCAGCTTACTGATGAATGGCTCTGGCTGGGCTGCCGGCAAGTTTCAAAGCTAGGCTAGAACACCTGCAAAGTGGGGCTGAGCTGATTCGGTGCATCCACTGGAGTCGGTCCGCATAACACCTCACCTCAAGCCCCGCGACCGTCCTGCTGGCAGATGTCAGCTGTTCGTAGTTTCACTCAGCGACAAGAATGATGGAGCCCACGGTGATGCCGCCAACAAATCTTGAATAACACAAACATCAGAAGCTGAAATAGGAATGGACAAGGAGGTTCGGCTCTGATGGAGTTCGACCGGCAGACATGTGCTATGGGGCTGCCGAGACGTTTTTTACCCTTAGACCTCTGCGAGGAAGAACGCGTGCTTGACATGGTGCTGGACTGGTTGGGTCGCATTGCAAACGCCCTTCGTGAGCCCAAAGATCCTGTGATGCCTGCTTTTCAGCAAGATAGAACAAGGCCGGTAACGGTACCTCGTCCACAAGATCAGGAGGACCATGCTTGATGCACATTACAAGAGTCAGGGTTTTCGCTTCAGAGCTCACTATGTCTCTTGAGTTTGTCGGAGGCATCTGGAGGTCTTGTAAATCAGCCGGGACTTGTGGCTCAGTCGTCCGTCTGAAGCATGTACGAGTTGGGTTGGTCAATGAGAGGCTCGAGGGGCGAAGCTTTTTCGTAAGGGAAGTGCTTTGATGACATAAGCATAGATGGAGACAGCAGGTCGTTCCAATCTAGGCAAGTACATGTGGGGCGTGAAGCTTACCTTCAATCCTCCAACCTCCGCACATGAGTGCCGAAGCACCTTGAACCCTTCCGGCAGGCGTGTCGTAATGCCACCGCGGGGGTCAGCTTGAACAAGGCTGGTCGTTCGATGGGTGGTTGGGGTGCTGCTTGTGCTCAGAATAGTGAAATCGTGAATAGTCTGGGTGGCGGAATTGGCAAGCATGCAGACATTTTAGAGTTGGACCTTGGGCTTGGCCTTGGGCTTGGGAGCCCCAGCGACCTAGGAGTCCCTCTGAAACCCTTCTCTTCTGCCATTGCTGCTGCAAGCAGTCGTTCAAGACTTCTGTACCGGGGTGGTGGAGCGCATGTTGCAGGGCCAGATCCCTACCATAGCTCGGTCGCTGTCGCCGGCCTGAGCCCAGGGCCAGCTTGGCAGACGGAACAAGCTGTGTAAAGCTGTTGCGCTGTACGGTTGCAGCAGTCTGAGGTCAGGATCGTCGCTTCTGGCAGGCTGGGTGTCGTCACGAGATGACTACATTCATGTAGGCTCAGTGCAATGATTTGTGGGGAAGCGGGTGTGGTTCGCTGTTGCGCGGAGTCCGGCGCTGCGTTCTTTGAAAGTAGTGGCTGTTGTTGCGAGACTTTTCTGGCCAGGGCCCTGGCTTTCGACATGCTTAGGTGGCATGGCTTGCCATGGCCGCATCTATCCGCAGGTTTTTCTGGCGTGAGCCAAGGCTCTCCTTTGTCCGTTCCTGCACAGGCCACTGTTATCTGTTATCTAGGTTTTTGTCAGCAAAGGCAAGCACGCACATGGTACTGGTACAGCCTCTTGCAACGGACATCCTGCACAGCATTCGGCCGCGAATCTAGCTCTGAGCTGCCTGCACTACCTTGCTGTCCGGAGCTCAGCAAAGCCAACACCCATGCCAAACACAGGAAAATGAAACCTAGAATCTAGGCAGTGTCCCGGTGGTTCGCCAAAGTCTTACCCAGGTCAGCACTTCGGCCATCGTGTGCAGATCGTGAGCGCAGCTTGGTCGAAATGCTTGGAGTGTGTATCCATGAGGGCCTGGCTCCACCAAGCGTGCTGATTCACCTTACAGGCTTGGATTTCTAACTTCCGGCGCAATCGGCAGGACGCAGAAAGACTCGGAGAGGCGGAGGCCCAAGGCTTAACGCTCGCATAGGAAAGGCGCGGTGAAACAGACGCGATAGGGGCGAGAGAAACCTGCCCCAACACGTGCCCCTTGCTGTGATCTGAGCCTGAGAGAGCCTTTGTGAAATCATGTGAAATCGGGCCTCAGTCTCCAGTGCTGTGTGTGTGCGCTTCAGGAAATGGCCGCCGTTTTCCGCACAGAAGCTTCGCTGCAATAATGTGTGTAGCAACAACCCAGCTTAGCGACGACGTGTGAATCGAAAAGCTTGGACACCTGACAACAGTGCAGCTGTTTGATTTTACGAAGTTGGCACTGTATGTGCCAATGTGTGCAAGGTGTCGATCAGCAAGAAAAGGTCCTTCGGAGCCATGGTACGTCGGATGAGGCGCCAGTCGGCGTTTGAGCAGAAAGTCTGATGGCGACCCTTTGTAGCAGCATCTCAGATGGCATGACGCTTTTGTTTGACTTCGGTTTGCGACTTGCAGTCTTTGCCCTGGGCAGGTTTTTGCCGGTGGCATTTCTATTGAGAATCTCGGCTTCCATGTATGTTCTTCTTGGCATTTCATGCCTGGCAGCACCAATCCACTCTGTGACGTCTGCATCAAGAGATCTGCGTGAAAAAATGCCTGCAAGGCCTGAGTGCATTGGCTGTGGCTGTCCTGGTGCAAAGGCGACACGGTGGCTTGGCCGGAAACGAAATGATTGTCTGTTAGTTTGTTGTCAACATCAACAGCAGGTGCGGAGATGTCAGTCACTGCAACTCTGGCGAGAAAGAGAGAGAGAGAGAGAGAGAGAGAGAGAGAGAGAGAGAGAGAGAGTGTTCGAGGGGGGGGGGATCGCCAGCGAGAAAGTCGGGGACACACCCAGTAGTACAGTGCCGAGCTCAGGAGTACCCCAGAAGCCGATCACTCCATAAACCAGGGGGTGGTCGGGCGGGCTTAGGCCTGTGGGTCGCACCGCGACCCTTATGCCCGGCAGAAAGAAAGAAAGAGAGAGAGAGAGAGGGTCTTGCGGGACTCCTAAGCCCAGCAGAAAGAAAGAAAGAAAGAGAGAGAGATCTGATAGCTTCTGTTGTGCAAGCCGGCAGGTGGCGAGCAGCGACAAGTCCCCAACCGCTCCCTATCCAGGTGCATCCTGTGGATAGGGTTGAAGCCCGTCCCTTCGCTTCCTCGCCAACAGCGGGCTCGAGCGAAGAAGCAGACACGGGGTCAGGACAGCGCGCAGTCAGCGTCTGTGTGTGGGTTTCGCATGTCTTGAACCGGGGCGATGTCCCCAAGTGAGCCTTAGATAGCTTCACCCAACCAGCCGCTTGAATCAACCCGCGATTCTCCAGTGGAGCAGGCCGTGCAGAACCCATGCTTAACTGTCTCATCATGCAGGTGGTGCTTCACTTCCTTTTCGATTGGCACATCGTGTCGGGATCTTATGCTCGTGAGCATCGCGTTAGATCGTTTGCTCGGCCGTGTTGGGCATTTGCTCAGGTCCGCAGCATGTCGTCTCTTCTGAAATGCCACCTGACAGCGAATTCGCTTATGAAGCTTGGCAGAAATGTTTTTAAACACCCTGGCCTCCTGCTCGAAGCTAGAAGCCTCTGCTGCTTGGCAAAGGATGTTCAAGTGGAAAACGAAGGAGGCAGGGCACATTGGGACATGCTCTAACTTCGCGAAGTATCATATCTCTTCACTGAGGAGACTATCCGTCGCCGGGTATTGGAATCAAGTCATACTAACTTACTTAAAAAGGTGTCTGGAGAAATGCATCTTTGGAGCGGTTGTCTTTTTCCATGTCCTTTGGCTGCCGTTCGTGCATTCTTCTGTGCTGGTCCGAAGCAGCCAATTGTCGACAAAGGGACCCTCGTCGAGTTCTGAAATATGCAGACCTCCTATCTTTCCGAGAAGATAGATGCGCAGGCTGCTGGTACCGTCGATTTCTGAATCAGGTTCTTGTTTCTTCAAACGGAATAAAGTTCACCAGTTTCTCCCGGGGGCACTTCTTCGCGTCGTTCTTCTGTTGAAAGGGTGGAAGGTCATTGAAAAACGCGGCATTCAATGGAAACGGTCGATCGCGATGCCGAGGCAGCAAGCTTTCCCCACTTTGTTCCACATGAGATTTCTGTTCTCATTGAGCTTCCCTGAGGACACCTGCGTTATCATCTAACAGATGTGCCGCCGCGCCGCCCCAGCCAAACTCCCCACCTGACTATGTCTTCCGCACAGATCAGCTGCCAAAAGAGGCAACGTTAAATCAAACTCACATGATGCAAGTTTCAGTCTCACGGAATAAGTAAAATGAGATTAAGAGTAGTGGTATTTCAAGATCACCGAAGCTCCTTAGCCAGATTTAGGCAGCGAAATAATGCGAAATAAACCGTTGGCAGTGCACCGGTGGTATGTGGTTGGATCTCAAAGGCAAGCTGCATCCTGTAACAGTCGCTGGTTTTGTGCGCGGACCCAGGGCAGGGGACAGTGTATTGGGATGTACTCTCCGGCCCAGAAGCCGCCCAAAGACCCACCGTAGGCGAGTCGCGGACCAAGCACATGGAAACTGCTCGTTCCATGAACTACCGTGAATACAGGTACAAGCAATCAAGAGGTTTGCAAAAGTCGCAGAAATTCTCGGTGGTCATCAGCAGGTGTCTCGTTCGGTCAAAGCCCACCTGCCTTGTAGAGCGGTAGGGGATGGTAGGGGAAGCAGCTACGGCTGTGGTGTTGCCGAAACATTCAGGCGATTGCACAAGTCCTGATGCAAAAAAGCTACGGCTACAGCTACGCGGCAGCTGCGGTGATAGCTCCAGCTGCATCTGCTGCTGGTACTGCTGCTGCTAGTACCGTTCAGGTTGGGATAAACCGGCTGCCGATCCAAAACGATACTCGAAACGACAGCCTACCGATCTCTTTAGAGTATAGAATCTGTCAGGATTTGACCATGATCACTTGCCATGCGGCACGAATGGCATATGTGATGTTTTGGAGCAGGTCGGCATGACATCAGTGCTGTATTCACTTGAGTATGAGTCGCAGATGTAGCTCTGTGCAAACAAACAGAAAGCCCGGAGAAACGACTGGGGATGCAGCTTCTGGGAAATTGCAACATGCCCAAACTCGGCTCAAAGTCGTGGAGAGCGTGATGCTCTCGTGTCTCCTGCTCCGCAAAGCGCAACTTGGCCTCGGAGAAGTCCGTCAGGTTCTCGTAGAAGGTGTGTTGTGGCTTTTGCCCGCATGCTGGGGCCCTGGGTGAAGGCGCCTCCTGACTCCTCCCGTCCAGGAGTTCATCTGCTGTCCATGCTCTGGTGCATTTTGCTGCCAGAGCATCAAGGCCAATAAGCGCCCAGGGCCATGGAGCAAAGTGTCACATGCCACTCGTGCCGCATTGTGTCCTCGCTTGGTGGAACCGAGAGAGCAGCTGGGCTCGAACACTGTTGCGGTTGCAGAAGCTTTATGCCCGTTCGAGGGGAGTTGACTTGCCTGGACTGTCCCGGACCACAAGTGGACACGAACGCGTGACCACCTTTACTGCGGCCTGAACTGGGGATTGTCTCCAGCGGAGCATGTACTGTTGACGAAGATCAGCCCTACAGTCGTTGAGGCGGCTGAGATATGCTGAGAGGCGCTGCCGCTACCCGTGCGGGTTGATCCGCTTTCTGCGGTCCAGCGTGGTAGCTTCTCGTCTGGTTCCTCGCGAGTCGTTGCTGTTGTACTGCTCTATGCATATGCACGCATGTCATATGTTATTCTATTCAATTCCGTTCCACTTTATTGTCTTGTCCTGTACTTTCATGTGTGTGACAACGGCTCCTCATTTGGAATCCCTAAATTCAAGATTCAAGACATGGCAGAGCCCCTCGAAGACTCTTCGACGTCTTTGGCCGTGGACAAATTCCGGCTGGTGTTGCGCTCCGCCTTCAAATTGATCACCCCGAGGTAGCACAACACCACATCACGTGCAATACGGCTTGTGGAAGCTTGATGAACTCGATGCCTCTGTGAAGGCAGCGATTATGACATCGGTCCCTCTGTGCACGGCTCAGCTTCTTTCAGACGGCCCAGCTTGACGACTACACAACTCCAGCTAGTAGATGTCCGAGCGACACCTGACGTGCATAGAATGCATCTTCTAGCTTTTCATAACGCAGCAGCCTATAGTTCCCTGGATGTAGTATATGATAACGACCAATCCCGGCATGGCCCACATGGTGACGTGGGGTGCCAAAAGTGGATAAGCCATATGGTGCATTTCGCAAAGAGTGGCATGGCCTGCCACGGCACCCGATCATCTAGTACAGTCTGGAGCAGCCCCGGTAATTACGCAAACAGTATTCCGCTGCCTGTAAGCGATGATATGCTTTGATATGTG